TGGGTTCCTTTAAATCAGAGCTAGATAAGATTTTAACAGCTCTGAGCTATTAGTTAAGTTCTCCCCAAACGAGCTTGATGGGCCGAATGGCCTCCTCTCGTTTGTAAATTTCTGTTCAAGAACACACGAGGCTAGTGTAAAAACATAAGCCACGGCAGATTCGTAAAGCAGAGGCAGCATTTAGAATGCAAATACATACCATGCACAGGAAGAACAAACACAAAGTATCATTTATAAGAACTTTATTAGGCATTTTTGAACCGTCATAACAAAAAAAATCTGTATTAAACAAAGCATTTTGCATCGAAGAATGTATTTGAATACAACAGATTATAATAACCATTACAACGATGACGATGGACTTGCCAGTTTTTTTGTAACTATCTGTGGAAAAGTACTGTCAGGGATTGTCCACCTCTACATCATAACTTCAGGGGCAATGTACTCAACCATTAGTCTGAGTATAACAAAGGCCAGCCATTACTTTTCGTTTTAATAATATATGTAATAATTATATTACAGAAACTTTAAAAGCACAGCCGTGAATCGAACTGTACCGTCCCGTTACTATAACAATAAATGGGTTTAGCAGTTTAGGTAAGCTTGGCCGCAATTTCGACGCTGTTTGTTCTGACTTGCGGAGCCTATGTTTTGTTACGCTATCATTTGTGCTAAAATCACATTCGCCCGGCTGCAAATGTTTCGGGCACGTGCTGTAGTTTGTTTCAACAGTTTTCTCCTCCATTCTTATTATAACCTGCAGCTTTATACCGAGTAAATATGAATTTATAGTGAACCCCAGTTAAAGTTAAGGACGGTGCATCTCAAGCAGGTATGCTTTATTGGAGCAGGTTAAATGACGACCCTGTTGGTGGGGGTGGGGGCTCCCAAGAAGTTTTGCCTAGGATGGCTGAAAAGCTATCGTTGGCCCCTAGGACAAGGTCCCCTAGTTACTTAACTATATACAGCAGGGGTCTCCAACTCCGGTCCTGGACAGCTACCGTCCAGTAGGTTTTCTATCCTACCCGGCTTCTGATGAGCCACACCTGTTCTCAGGTAAATACCAGGAGCAGGTGTGGCTCATCAGAAGCCAAGTGGGACAGGAAACCTACTGGATAGTAGCTCTCCAGGACCGGAGTTGGAGACCCCTGATGATTCTCACATTTTCAGCTCTCATGATCTGCTTAAAGGCAGTGCTGGGTCCATCTTTCATTGCCCCAAGCCCCTTCTAGGCTCACAGGGTCCGGGTTCCGATCCAGATGTTAGACCCCCGTCCACCGCCTCTTACTTAATGAACCTCTGAAAAACAGAAAAAGCCCAAATATCACAATGTGAATCTGCACAGAAAAAAGGGACTGGTGACCTGGGAATGCATGAGGTGGCTTTGGGCACGCAGGGAGCCCCCACCAGCGAAGGCCCCCAGGTAGGATGACACTCAACAAAGGCACAGATCGAGAGAGAAGTTAAGCTCCACTGATTAAGGACATTAACTTCAAAGTCAGACCCCTCTGACAAGCTCGCATTGTCCTTTGGACAGGAAACACTCCTGATATCCTCCAAGCTCAGGCAGGAATGGAAGTGAGATCCAATCACGATTTATCACATTTCTAATAAAATGGAAGTGCTTCCTGGGAAAAAACAAGTATATTTGGCATTTCAATTAAGAACTTCTTCATTAGATTGCTAAAGATGGAAAGGGGTAGAGATCAGCCATTTTAAGGGGCAAAACAAGAGTGATCCCTGATACTGACAGAGACATGCAATAATGCCCATCTGAGCACTCGTACAAACAACATTAGCCTTGTGTAGACAGTGAAGCAGACAGTGAAGCAGACAGTGAAGCAGACAGTGAAGCAGACAGTGAAGCAGACAGTGAAGCACACTTGACTACACTTCATTGAGCAACGGGCCAGCTACCTACTCGTTTTGCATCCCTTCACCTGGAAGATGACACCATATGATTAAGGGCCATTTTCCCGACCACGGTCCAGGTGATTTCGGCAGCCTGATCGCACTCATGGCTGGGTTTCTGTGGGACACGGGCAGCCACCCCCCAACCCCAGCCCCCTCACCTTATACATGAAGGCGGCCAGCACGCCGAGCAGAGCGAACAGCGCCAGCTGGCGGAGGCGGCCCAGCCGGACGCGGGTCAGCAGCAGGACGCGGGCCCAGCGCAGCCTCTCGGCCGTGTGCGGTGGGTACCGCATCTTGTTGACCACCTCCATGCTCAGGGTCTTGATGAGGCAGCTGCGCAGGTTGCTCAGCTGGTCGAAAGTGCACTTGCCATGGTACCGGCCCATCCCGCTGTGCCCTGGACACCATGGGTCACGTGTCACACGGCTGGGCACAGCTCAGCCTCAAGCTGTACACTGCCGTTTACGGTGCAATATAATATAATATCATTAATATAATATAATATAATATAAATATAATTGACCTTCTGATTTTATGATCAAGTCTGGTAATGTTTTTCCAACGGAAGCATTAAATTGTCGACTACAATACAGATAATGCAATAAAACATGCAAATTTCTGAATTTGAGGGGGGTTTACAATATGTGATTTTATCCACTCATACGCACACTGACGCTTAGGGTCCTTCACACTGAATGTGTATAAACATATAAAATGGAGGAGAGACCTTCAGTCTTTGTGGGGCCTGAACTCGACAGCCTTTATCTTAGTGCCCTGAAGTGCCATGTTGTGGCCAACAGGGAGGGTGACTCACCCACGCCGCCAAAGGGCAATGCGCTGACAGTGTAGTGCACCAGGCAGTCGTTGGCCAGGACTCCACCACTGGAGGTCTCTGCAATCATCTGCTTAATGACCTGGGTGGGGTCAGCGAGAGGTAGTGGGTGGAGTCAGCGGGAGGTAGTGGGTGGAGTCAGCGGGAGGTAGTGGGTGGGGTCAGCGGGAGGTAGTGGGTGGGGTCAGCGGGAGGTAGTGGGTGGGGTCAGCGGGAGGTAGTGGGTGGGGTCAGCGGGAGATAGTGGTTGGGGTCAGCGGGAGATAGTGGGTGGGGTCAGCGGGAGATAGTGGGTGGGGTCAGTGGGAGATAGTGGGTGGGGTCAGCGGGAGGTAGTGGGTGGAGTCAGCGGGAGGTAGTGGGTGGAGTCAATCCTCTCTTCCTTGTTACCTTGTTGCTGGAGGAGAAAATGTAGAGGACGAGGGGTTTCTCGCGGCTGTTGATGAAGCGGATGGCCTCGTCCGGCCCACTGACCGGTAGGATCGGCAGAACCGGGCCAAATATTTCCTCCTGCATGACTTTGGCTTCTGGTTTCACATCCCTCAGAACCGTAGGTGCTGTGGAGGCATCATGGAGACGGGAGTGGTTTGTATTCAGGCCCAAATAGAGGAAAGATGAAAAGATCAACATTAGAGATGGAAGAAAGAAAGTTTTTGTCCAGGATGAGTGTCTGACATGGTGGAAGCTGAGCGGAGTGACCAAGAGCAGGAAGTCGGACGATGGTGAGTGGCGGCATCGGGGGGAGGGGCCACGTACCGATGTAGCACTGCGATTCGTCGCTGTCGCCACCAATGGCCACCATGCTGCCCTCCAGCAGCGCCGTCACCCTCTGAAAGTGGCGCTGATTGATGATGCGTCCGTAATCCGGGAACGACTTTGGGTCATCCGTGTAGAATTCCTGTCAGCAGAACATGGAATTCCCATTGGCCCGTTCCCTGATAGCGAGCCCCAGCCCCCATGCCCCTGGTCATATGCGAGTGCTGCCCCCCCCCCCATCAGCACGCACCTTGATGCAGCTCCGCATCTCCTGCAGCAGCCGGTCCTGGATGCCAGGTTCGCATAGCACATAATCGGGCGCGATGCACGTCTGGCCGCAGTTGACAAACTTGCCCCAGGTGATGCGGCTGTGACCACAAACACCCAGAAAGCGTGTGAAGTTGGGCTCAGGACATCCTGCTGTGCCACCGCCCCCACCCCCCTACCGACTCACCGGGACGCTACGGCCAGGTCGCAGTCCTTGTCCACGTAGCAGGGGCTCTTCCCCCCCAGTTCCAGTGTGACGGGGCTCAGATGCCGGGCGGCCGCCTCCATCACCAGCTTTCCCACCGCGCTGCTCCCCGTGTAGAAGATGTGGTCAAAACGCTGCCGCAGCAGCTCCTGGGTCTCCGAGGCCCCCCCCGTCACCACAGGGTACAGCTCCTGAAAAGAAAACACAAAAGGGATTAAAGATTATAAACAGATACAGACACATTTCCGGTAACCAGCCTTTCCAGCGGGGGGGGGGATGGAGTCCTCACCTTGTCCAGGTAGCGGGGGAGCAGGTCCTCCATGACCTTGGCCGTGTGAGTGCACACCTCCGAGGGCTTCACCACCACCGCGTTACCTGGGCGACCAAATGGACCCGTCATTTACTCACAGCCCTAAATCCCTGGTTTGTCGCGTCAGGGTTCCTGCGGTGTCTCCCAACACTTAAATGAGGTGTTCTGAGGCTGTGCCGTTCAGGCACCTGACTTGCATCACGTCTAGTGATGCATCATAACTCTGCTGTCCATAACTGGGCAGAGAGGGGTGGCATCAGAATTACACCAGGAGCATTAAGCGGGGAATAATATACCTGCATTATGACATTTATACGGTGTTCACCTCCTGCTTCTTCCTCTACCATTTACCGGCGTTTCCCTCCCCTGCGGCAGTTTCACACCAAGCACACCTGCAGCGATGGCCCCGATCAGCGGCTGCAAGGTGAGGGCCCAGGGGTAGTTCCAAGCCCCGATGATGAGCACCACGCCCAGGGGCTCAGGCTGGATATAGACGTCATCCAAGGCGGTCAGCAGTGTCTTTCCGACGGGCCGCGGTGCCGCCCACTCAGCCAGGTGGTCCAGGGCCACCTTGATCTCATCCTCCAACCCGAGCATCTCGTAAAGCTGCGTTCCATACTCAGTCTGCGGGACACACGTGGCAGGCCCTCATCAGCATCATCTTTACACGCCGCTTTTACTCACAATTATTCAGCTATTTATCCTGGACATCTGGATCAGCAGTACAGACAGAGCATCACCTTGCCGAGGTCCTTCTGTAGGGCCTCAGCGATGTCCTTCTGCTGCTCGACAATGAAGCGCCGCAGGGCTTTCAGCTGGCTCACTCTGTGCTTGAGGGGCCTCGTCCGGCCCGTGAGGAAGGCCTGCCGCGTCCGCTCCGCCACCTGCTGCTCCTGGGACATTCTGTTGAACCATGGCACCAACGCTGATGGGTGACATTCTACAGAACCTTACTGCACTTACTTCCACTGCCCTGTTATTTGTGAAGGCAGTGTTTTGCTTAGATTTAGACAAATCAGAATCATAGAGGAGGGGGAGCCCTATCAGGTACAGAACCGTACAAGATGCAATGCGCCGTACGTGCTAGATTGCGTTCCGCGACAGTCAGGAGCTATTTTCTTAATTTCATGTCAATGACTATCAGTAAACTGCATCAGCAAACCGGTCATGACAACAGCTAGCCAGTGACTAACTGGGTAGAAGCCACCCCACCAAGCACCTTCTACTGATCAGTTCACTCTGACTGAGCAACTATGGGGGTCTCAGTACACTTACTGGCTTAACAAAGTAGTATGTTGCTACTGATCTGAGGTACCACTGCCAAGTTCGTTTACTGAATAAAGGAATGAACTACATACAAGAGACTCGCGCAGGTATCAGTACAGTACAATCAAATTGTTCCCCTGAGAGAATCAGTTCGTGCACCGAACGAAGTAACAAACTGCAGACACACGTCCATTGAATGAATTCACTGACTTATGGGAGCTTGGATTAGAGCCCCACCTGCTGGAATTAGTTCATATTTTTACATAGCGACTTTTATAAACTTAATAAACCACAATATGAACTATAGAGCAATTTTGAGTGGATGTAAAGATTACGTAACAGGAAGAAATAAGGAAATTAAATGCGGTGTCGTGTTGTGTTGCGATGTTGGTTGCCAAAATATAAATTCAAAAAGCAACGAGCCTCATTTTTATAGGACACCGTCGTTAAAGACATTTGAAACGAAATATGTCTAGACAGTATTCGGTAATATAATTCAAAGTGCATACTGAATTATTCCGAGAGCAAAAAACAATATTTAACCCGTTCAACATTAGTGACATTTTTACATAGAAATTTTTATGTATCCTTATTACTGTATAGCTTATTGTAATATTTATTCTATATTAATTGTCTGCTACTGCTCCTACTGTAAACCAACAGTATTTCTTTTGGGATAAATAATTTCTAGAACTATCTAGAAATTTTAGCAGCAGCAGTTGTAGTGATGAATGGAAAAAATGTATATATTAATGTATACAAACACAACCACGCAACACAAAAGTCATCGGACAAATCTCTGTATTGAAGGTCCCACACATGACCAGAAAGCGCGAAATTATATGCCTCCAGTTTTTCTTTTCTGTACACGCTTGGTTTTTAGACGAAAATGTCCAGCCACTGTAACTTGAGCCATTTAGTTGGGTCTTTGACCCACTGATCAGACAGCCAGTGTGGATCCGGAAACCTTTTGGAATTTGATCAGTGGTCATTGTTGACACACCACAGCACACAGTGCACAACAACGAAATGTGTCCTTTGCATTTAACCCATATGTGACATCGTGACATTGCAGGGGGCAGTGCTTGGGGGTGGTACCTTCGAACCAGCAATCTTTAAATTATAAGTGCGCTTCCCTAACCATTAAGTCACCACTGCCCACACCTAACTAACTAATGTAAGATAATTTATCTTTTGCTGACAAAGCATTAAAATGACTGGGGGAGTCGTCCTGATTATTCAAATATAGATTTTTGGCACTCACACCTAAATATCGCTGCTTCTGTCTCGTTCGGCCCACAAAATATGTCATATTTGTTTGCAAACACGAAAGTGGTCTATACAACTTTGTTAGCTTACGTCTTAATTTCATTGTACGTTAACAGTTTATCTTGTTCCTTGCTTTTTATATTGTTTGGTGGCATAAAACTACAGCTTAAACTTCTGTTGATAAAGGGCGCAGCCATCTTGAATTCTGAGTCGATTCCTCAGAGTTGAAGAATTTTTAGCTACGCCAACAGTTACTCCAACCGATCCACGTTCTGCTGCTGCTCTGTCTCTTACCTTTGACTTAAGGACGGTTTAAAGCGATGGGCCACAAATTCCCTATTTTTGACGTTGTTCTACAGGGCCGCCGAAACGAACAGTACCGGAAAGAGCAGACCGTTCCCATAAGCCTCCCGCGATACATTGCATGCTGGGAGCTGTAGTCTACCGCGGTGACCAACGGCGTGCCGTGTCGCGTGGTTAAAGTTGACGTGTTGGAGCGGAAAATACAAAACAAGTTGACAATATATGTATTAAAAGATGTGCACGGTCTAAATAATCACGAGTCACATTAGGAGTACCATCGTGGATCAAATTGACAGCTGAAGGTTACTATTTGTGTATTTAGTATTAAGGATTGCACGTACGCAAGCCGTGTGTAAGAAAATGTTTTTCAGCAGTTGTAAATGCAGCTAATTGTTAATTACTATTTGAATTATTTGTGTTATATATAATTGCTTGTTATGTGTACACGATGAACGTTCATGCTTTTATGAAATACCCACCTAAAAATGGTCAGACAAGCGTATGTCAGAGAAGTGCGATTATGCAATATAACAGTATACCCACCTACCAAAACACCACTTTATCACTGGCCAAAAGGTGCTCATGCCTAAACCGTACGCACTGCTTTACTAAAACGTTTAATACAAATATATAGAACTTCACATGTGTTTTAAACAGTATTAGCGTTTCATGCACAGGGTCTTTGGGACGTTGTCAGTATGGTGTCAATAATGGTGCATCCAACCTTCATGTGCAGCGATTAAGACAGTGGCTTACATACACACAGCAGTCTCTTAAAACAGTTTCTCCTGTTTAATTAAGCTCCGAACTGGCCTGTTCCTGCATCACATAGTTCATGAACTACTGTGCTCACAGAGACGTGGGAAACGTGACGGCTAATTGGTTGCTCGGCGTTGCCATTACTGAGAAAAGCAGTTTTTAATTGTTCGGCTTTCATCCCCAGTCATCTCCCTCTCGGGTAACACAGCATACCGCGAGACGTGGTCTGCAGAAGTGCAGATAACATACAAGTGAGAGAATATGGCAGTAAGAAATCGACGTATAAAACGGCTTGTGCTCCTTGATTGACAGGCAGGGCAACCAATGGCACCATTCAGTGTTTCCGCCCTCACACATTCTGGGAGGACAATAATAAATCACATGCACGACATACAAATATTTACATTTTGCAAACTGCGAATTTCCTCAAAAAATCAGTTAATATTAAAATAAAAAAATAATAAAATTAAACTTAAGTAAACTACTCAAGTAATTTGACTTCCTTATTAGCCGTGGGGGCTTTGGAGCCCGGACAGCAGCGTCAGTCTTTGACAGGCGTTAGCTGCCTTCCGTTGCTGCAGAGGTTAATCACAAAGTCCGCTGCCCCGACTGAGCAACAGTCCCTCCCGGCTCTGCAGAACGAGGAAGACTGGCAATGCACAGGATCCGGCGCGACAGCCAGTCTTTCAGGCTGCCCACAGACATTACGGTACACAGGGGGGCGCTGTGGCTCTGAGCAGAAGGGTCCCTGAGGGCACCCCATTGGTTGTGAGGGTTCCAGGCCTGCGTGCTCGAGGCCTTCCGGACATTTCCCTCACTTCCATTCAACACTGTGGGGGAGCGTACATATAAATATATATGCACTTTTATAAGTGTATTTATAAGTGTTTTTGCGAACAAATGATGCCTTCTACAGACAGACACTCTTGTTTCCTCTTTTGGGCATGTGATTGCAGGTTCATGAGTCTCATCCTGCAATGGCCTCATCAGCCCGTATCACACCGTGCCCGGCGAACAGTTGAGAGAAATCTAACAGCATCTAACCCTGAACAATAAATAATAGCGACAATAAAGTAAAAACAGTAATGAACACGCATCACTTAGTTTCACTTTGAAAAAGCACGCGACTCTTTGACAGGTCAGTGTGGTTAATGTCTAATTCGCCTCCTCGTTCTGCTCACTTTCTCCCACCTCCCTGACGTCACACGTGAGCACGGAGTCCAGCATCCTGACCCTTGGTACCAGTTTAGGCTTCTCTCTTTGTCAGTCTTTATCGATCTGCATTATCTTTGGTAATGACTTCCATCTTTCTTATCACTCAGTCCATGAAATAAAATAAAATAGTCTATAATACTTCAAAAAACATCAAAGTGCTTCAGCTGCTACAGGAGGAAGCAGGGGCTTCCCGCTAAGTGTCCTTGGATTTCCTGTGGTTGTTCAGGTAGAACACTGTGGTCCCTGTCCGGGGAGCTGGCTGGTCCGATTGGGAGGGCGCCCCCTCTACTCGTATAGAGTCACGGTGCAGTAGCAGAGCGTTGACAGCCGGCGCTCCACACTGGCCTTATCTGTCCAACACAAACACATAAGGTTCTCACTGCTCTGCTAATGGAGCCAATCAGAAATGACCCAAGGTGGGGGGTTGTGGATGGGGGGGGTCACTCACATTTGTTGACATTCTCGATGTCCGCAGGATTCTGAAGGATCTTGGACAGGCCCTCAAGCAGCATGGCTGCTCTGTTGTAGCGATATGCTATGTCCTCCGTCTGCTGGAACATCTCGTCTAGGGCCGCAGACTGCACCTGGGGGAGGGTCGCACAGAGAGTCGGGAGGTGGGAAGAGCCAGCCGATCAGATCGGGGGGGGGGAGGGGGAGAGACATGGAAGAGGCCAGACAGCCTGATTAAACTGACCATGTCCACGGCGTGGCTGTAGATGAGCTTCTCTGCCGTCACACTGTTGATCTCGTCCACGAAGCGCTGCTTGTCGGCAAAGAAGCGGTTGAGGCGCTCAGTGAGGCGGCGGCACAAGGCGATGCAGCTTTTGTATCGCTCGTTCAGGCTCTTCACAACTGCGGACATGAGACGCGAGATCAGCGGCCATGTCTAGCTGGGGGGAGGAAGACTGACTGTGGGGACGAGGGCTCACCCTGCTTCACGGCACTGGACGGGTTCAGCTTGGCCGACTTGATCTGGGCCTTGGCCAGGTGCAGGGAGGACGCCAGCAGCTGGGCCGCCTTCATGTAGAGGACCAGCTGCTCCACCTGCCTGCAGGGGGCGCAAACGGCACAGAGCGGCACCTCAGGCGGGGCTCCTCAGCGAGGCGGGAGGAAGGTGGTGGCTGCTTGTGTCCCGGCCTCGCACACTCACCCCCATTCCTTACTGAGCTGGCTGATCTGGTCCACCACCACGCTGTCTTGCGGCGGGTACAGCGAGCCGCAGGCACCGGTATCCGGCCCGCCGGGCCGCGCTGCCGCGATCTCCAGCACGCAGTCCGTGAACGACAGCATCATGCGCAGGTGCATCAGTGTGTCAGTGTGCTCGCGCTGCAGATGGGGACAGCGACTCGTCACCCTCACGCCCGCAGTGAGTGGGAATAAGGGGAAGAGGCAGACCGACGTGTTTGCACTACCCCACCTCCATGAGTGTTTCCTCGGGGAGTTCTGGGGCCTCGAAGGTGATGAAGCCCTCTAGGCTGGGAGGGGACGTGCCATAGGGGACATAGCGCAGGCTGCTGGGGGCCGCCTCAGCCCCCCCTGGTGGAGAGCCCCCCAAGGCCATGCCAGGCGGGGAACCCATGTAGACACGGCCACTGGTGGAGCACAGGGACCCAGCCGAACTATTGGAGCCAACTGCGAATGGGAAAGGAGAGAGGGTGGGGCTTGAGGGTGGGGCTTTCCAGATGGGTGGGGCTTTACTGGGGGGGCGGAGCACCGCGCCTCACATGTGGCCACTGGGATCCTCACCTGAGGTGGTGCGTGGCCGGGAGCCCAGGTGGCTACAGGTGGGTGGCGTGATGCTGTTCGGGGGGGAGCCCACCGTGAACAGTACTGTGCGGGGGCTTGCCCCCCCCGGGGGCAACCCACATGTTCCGGCCGGGGCTGGGAGAGGCACGCAGGGGGAGGAGGCGGGTCAACTCACCAGCTCAGCCAATGAGGAAGCTTGCTTACAAACCAGCATTTATAAGGATCTGATATTAAATCATGAAAACACGGTAACTCAGGTCACAGGACAAGGGGCTCCTGAGTGTGAGGGGGCCTCACCCGTGTCCATCGGCCTCTCTGTGTTCAGGCTGTCTGTGCTGCCCTGGTATGGCTGCCCATCCAGCGTGATCCTGACAGGCTGCTCTGAGAGACGGCCAGCGCTGACGGACCTGCGAGGTACACGGCACGCTCAAGCAAAATCGAGAGGCTGTAGGAATGGGGGGGGGCAGATAAATGCCTCTGCGTAGGGGGGCTACCTGCCAAAGGTGGTCTTGCTGGGTTCTGGGGCCAGCTGCCGGGGGGCCGGGCATGGCGAGCAGTGGTGGGCGTGGCCCGGTGGCACTCTGCTGGCCGTGGGGCTGTCAGCGATGCCCGGCTGAGATGCCAGGGCCAGCAGGTTACAGGAGGCTTGTGTTTTGGGGATTTTGAAAGGTGCCGACGTCTGGAGGCGTCAGAGGGGAAGATACATGCATCACTTAAGTTTTTATACTTCTTAAAATCCCTTGAAATGCTTTTTTCAACATTTTCCACCAGAAAGCTCACATTCACATTAAAACAGCAGGGTTAATGTACACGTAATACTCACTTTGGTAGGAGAGCCAATGATAGTGGGAAGCGGAGATTTCTGCAGCCAATCAGAGGAGCGGGGGGAGGAGCCAAGGTGCTTGGTGGGGGAGGTGCCCAGGCTGCCGGGACGGCAGAGCTGCGTCGAGTGGCTGCTGGGGCAGGCCGTGGCAGTGGGGTACACGGGCTCTGAGAGCTGCTTGTGGAGTTTCTGCTTGCTCTGGTACACATCAGTCAGGGTGGGGGCACTCTGGAGACGGGGGCCCATCATGTGAGACTGTGGCATGGGAGAGCCTGTGGGGGGGGTGGAGAGGAGAGACAAAAGACAGGAACATAAACACATGGCAGAGGACCTCTCTCGGTCTGTGAACGTCTCCCGTCAGTCAAGCAGGCACAACAGCGGCGGTTTTTCCTAAACCCTGTTTTTCCACTGACCAAAACTCCTACAATGCAATCAAGACTGATCTACAGGTGCTAGACACCAGGAGCATGTACAATCCCGCCACCTCTGGAGGGCCTGCAGGATTGGCTCACACATCTTGGATATGATCAATTCAGTCATTGACCATCAGGTTAAAGATAAAGGAGCATACATGCTGGCCCAGTGAGACCCAGAAACCACTTCTACCTCAGAGTCGTTTCCAGGCTGAACCCCAGATGCCATAGCCAGGCCCCCACCCGCTACTGACAGGACATTACCTCATCCCCCTACCCACTGCAACACTGTTACTTAACATTTATCAGAATACCCACATATTCCTATGTTCTATTTCTGTACAGTATTTATTTGCTAGTAAGTATATATGGATGCTTGTACATGTATGTTTGTTATGATTTATTTCATTATACATGCAATCCACTTCCACAATGACAGCCCCGCTCTGCTCAGAGACACACAGCAACCCATGTCCTAGTGATTTTTACAGGCCACTAGATGGCGGTGTAGGGTTAGTTTGCGCTCATCATCCACATTGCCAACATTGTAACATTTTCCAAGAAAGGCCAGAGAGTTTGTGCTGTTACCAGCCAATTCCACACCAGAGCAATGTGTGTGACCATGTGTTTACTGGCCACCTTCTGTTGACTTTAATGGCTGTGTGTGTTTAAGTTTAACACCTGCTGCTATTTGTCATGTTTAATACATTCAATATACTTGACCATACTTAATATGGTTTGGACTCCCGGCATGGACCTGGGGTCACCCCCAGTGGGACTTACCTGCAGATGAGCTCCGGCTGTGGCTCTCCTCAGCCTGGCCCAGCTGCTCAGGGATGGTGCCAACTGTTATAAGGACAGCCGCATGGTGAATGTGTGAGGCTCGGCAATTCAGATCTAAATCATTTTATTGTGACAAATTATAATGTAAATAATGTGAGTGACAGTGTGTTGCTGAGAGGGCTGGGGGCACTTACCCAGGGGTGAGGGTGAATAGGGCCGCGAGCAGCCCACAGACAGGCGACGGCCCACAGCCTGCGCCACATCGCCGGGGCTGGGGGAGGCTGCGACTGCACCCAGCTTGGGGAAGCCCAGGGGGCTGGTGTTTGAGCGGCGCACAGTGCCGGTCCTGTGGACGGAAACGGACACAGTGGTCAATCACGGCCTGCGAGGGCTGAATGCTCTTTAGCTCCTGATAGGTTTGTTTGGATGGATGGATCATTTGTGCCTGTGAAAATGAGGCAAAGAATGGTGGTTAAAAAAAATAAAAAAAATTCACAAGAGACCCCATCTATCCATAGAGTGCCACTGAGCACTGGCCAGAAGGTGGCGCCGCAGCAGCCCATCTGCTCAGGCTGGGCCACGTTCTGGATGATGGTGCTGGGAGCGCGAGGGAGGCATCAGCTGTGTCACTCTGCGGTCCAACGGCAGAACCCAATTTCAGGAAAATTTCCGACTTCTAAAATCCACACCCAAAACGAACCCTCAAAAAACGACTATACATTCTTAAACTGCATCTGCTTCTCTATGTTAATGGGATACTTTTGTTTATAGTGGTTTCAGCTTCTTTACCTCCAATTTCAGCTACTCTGTGACACGATACAGTAAAGACAGAGGTTTCTTATAACAAATGTCGCTAACTGGTTAGTGGTTACAGGGCTAGCGACGTGTGGTTAGCTATCAGCTTAATCCCGGCTGACCACACACAGCGCTGATCACCCTATGATCCCAGAGCTACAACACTGCAGGACTGTCCTCCACACACACACACACACACACACACACACACAAACAGTATCCACCTGCCAAAGCTACGGAGAGGACTCACCTTGGGGAGCCGTACTGTGTGCTGGTGGGGCTGCTCGACAGGTTCTGTTTGATGCGCTGGTAGTTGCGCACCTGGGTGGGCACCGGGATGGGTGTGGTCTCCGCGCGGGGGGACACAGCGGGCGTCTGTCCGGGGGCTGGCTGCGGCAGCCTGGGCAGGAGAGTGGGGAAGCCCAAGAGGTCGGCATCCTGCTGGTAGAACTGAACCATTCCCTGAGGAGGAGCTAGATCTCAGCCAGGAAAAGCCTGCTCCCTGCTGTAAGGGACCGCTAACGCTAATGCTAACGCTGCTCATGAAGTCTCGCAGCTCAGCAGATAAGAGCCAACAGTCTCCTTCTTTGTTTTGGTTCCAGGCAGTAACTGAAAACCGACACTGCCAGAGGACTGGCTTGGCACATTACACTGAGGTGGGGCTTGTATGCAAATCAGCAGGGCCTGGCCAATCACAGAAAGTGGGAGGACATCAGGGGGGCAAGACCAGCACAGAACAGTCTGTCCTCAGCCAATGACGCTTACTTCCTCATTCAGGTCTGCTAACAAAAACACATCGCAGCTCCTTTTACACCCTGTTTTCTATCCCCCTCCCTTCACCAGAACACGATGTTTTAGGGCAAAAGTCACATTGGTGATGCATAGGAGAGCTGAGGCATGACTGGCTGCCGGTGGGGACGCAGTGTTATCTAATAAAGCTGGGGCCAGAGGAGGAAAAAACAGCAAACAGGACACGTGACAGAGGCTGAGCAGCGTGCTTCTGTTTGACCATCACGCTTGTTTGTGCTGTGCTGCTTGCTGGTCTGGCACGAGCAGCAGGGAAACACCGCGGTGACATCGGCGGGACACCGCGATAACGGGGAGCAGCTTCTGCGAGGTTTGAGGCTCTGCTTTTATACCCTCTGCTCTGGAGGAGCTTGGAAGCCAGTAAATAGTGAACAGCCAGTGGGCCAGCTGTTCATTCACAAAAGACGACCGTATGAACTTGGGTGAATGAGCCAGAAAGCACTGGGAAACCCCGCCGTGAGACCAGGACATGTCAGCTCCCTACCACAGCTACAGCACAGGAGCTCTCACAGTTAAGTGACACAGGCACCCTGTGGCTGTGCTGTGTGGAAATGTGCAGCACCTGTCAGGCCAGTAAAATAATGAATAACAGAGGGAGGGGCTTGTGTACAGCCAGCACGGGACAGCACACCTGACTGTCCGTAGACCTTGATACTCACCCCCCACACAGGAGGAACTCACTGGAAGGCCGACGGCCGGTTGCCCCCATTGGCATGTCACCTGCGGGGGGGGGGGGGGGGGGCAGAGTGCAGAGGGTTCAGAGATGGGCATCAAAGGAACATACTGATTCACTTCACTGAGGGTGTGTGGGGCATGTGGGAGAGACACAACGCCCCCCCCCCAAATCTGGTTGGGGCACGGGGACGGGGCCGTCGGCAGGTGACTCACAGGACTGCTCAGCGCAGAGGTGAGGAACCAGCACAAAGTCGTCGGTGTCGCTGGAGTTCTTGCTGCTGGTGCTGCCGCCAGAGTCTTTGGATAGGTGTAAGTAGCTGGGGGGGCCGAGGGGGGGCGAGGACAGAACGTCTTCAGGCAGCGTCTGCATGTCCGGCAGGGACTAAGGTGTGGAAGCGGAGACTGAGTGTCACAGGTGCCGGATGGGTCAGCGGACTCCTTGACAAACCCATGGGGCTCCAGGACTCACCGGGGGAGAGACGTAGCGGCAGGACGGGGAGCTGCCATAGGAGCTGTCCGGCGCAGAGCCAGGGCAGCTGGGCACAGGCACCGGGCAGGCTGGGGCACATGCGTGGAGGGGGGGGAATCGTCAGCATGGGGTCTTTGCCAGACTAACAAGGCTCACACACTCTGGGCCGTCAGCACCTTACCATCATACTTACACTTCTTCATGGTGGACGTCGGCTCCAGGAAAGGATGGCTGAAGAAGGTGTCTGGGGAAGAGGAACAGGAGAGGAGTCAAGACTGGAGGTAGACAGTGCGGGGAGGGGGGGGCGGGGGGGGCTCCATTACAAACAACCGTTAGCCACGGGCCAACCCACCGAAATCCATGCGATCCTTCTGATTCCTCTGCAGCAGGCCGAGTAGAAGGACTTCCAGATGCGGTGAAGTCTCCCGCGGAATGCTGAAGGACAGAGGTGAGCCTGAGACGAGGCCATCGAACCCGCAGCCACTGCCGACGTGCTGTCAGTGTGCCCCCCCCCATTCCGATTCCCATTTCATCGTGCCACCACAGAAGGCAGTCACCATTAACGGGAGCGAGAGCGTGACTTACTTGGGGATCAGAGTTTTGTTTTTCTCGTAGAACATCCGCAGGTCCTGGGGGCTGTTGGCCTGGACAGAAACGTGGGGGGGTGTGTGAAAGAGGCGGTCTGATGGAAACAGAGTGATGATGTCGTGTCCCCAGTACGGCCCCCTCACCTGGAAGGGGGGCTTGCCCACCAGGCACTGATATATCACCGTACCGATGCTCCACAGGTCTGCCTTGGCATCGTAATTCTGTGACATGATTACTTCGGGAGCCTGTTTGGGGGGGGGGGGGCGGCAGAGAGACATTTGAGAAGAGTGGGGACCTCACGCAGGGGGGCAGGAGGTGCCAGCGACCCCACACTCACCATGTACATGGGGGAGCCGCACAATGTAGCTGCCATCATGTTGCTCTGCAGGTAGCGGGCGAAACCAAAGTCGGCTGGGGGGGGTGACAAGGGCAGAGTCAGTGATGAGGGCAGGGGAGCAAGGGGGCAAACACAGTGCCTGGGGGGGGTGGGGGGGACAAGGCAGTCAATGCTCATGATGTGGGGACAGGTAGGGGGAGGGGCTAGCCTGACTATAGAGACCAGCACTGCAGTAGACAGACTCACCAATCTTTATGCGGATGCCGTTCAGGCTGGACTTTCTGCGGCCCACGTAGGACAGCAGGATGTTCTGTGGCTTGAGGTCGCGGTGAATGATGCCCTTGCTGTTGAGAACCCTCATGGCGGCGGCAATCTGCTGCAGGAACACACGCAGAGTGTCTTCCCGCAGGGTGCCCTTGGCTGTGGAGGCAGTGAGGCCATCAGCACTTTCAGGAAGCAGCTCCCACCACCCTCACTACCTAGAAGCCACTGCTCTCTCCCCAAGCTGCTGGACAGAATTCATAAGCAACCCGGAACATCTCACAGGTCGGTCTGGGTTACACACAAATGCCAACAGGCTATCCCAGGATTAGCCAAATTTCATCTGCCACCTCACAACAGCCTCAAAAGCTGCTCTTGTTTTTCCCCCGAGATCCCAGTCACTGTTACAAGGAGAGTAAACTGCCGCGAGTGATGGAAGAAGGGAGCGGGGAACTCGACCGGCGGGTCAGTGCAGCATCAGCAGTTATGTGGATGTCGTGCTGTTCTGACATGGTGAAGGGAGCAGAGACAGAAGGTGAAGCTATCGATCTATGTTCCTAACCCCAGGGCGGATTTGTGGCTCTGAGGCTAGGGATCTGTCCCAGCAATCAGAAGGTTGCTAGTTTGAATTCACTCATGCCATGAGTGATCCTACTTCATTGGGCCCTTGAGCAAGGCCCTTAACCTGCAATTGCTTCATCTGGGGTATGAAGTTATTCTACATCCTGCTCTGTAAGGAGGTCCTCCAACTTACAGGGAACATTTGGGGGTTGGTGGCACTCTAGCCACCAGAAAACCTCTCACACAGAAAACCTGCTGAGGCATCACCCACTGCACGGCTGAACTTCTCATCCCTGATGTGGTTTGTGTTGTGTGGTGCTGCAACGTGCTGCAATCAGCATGTGCTCCTTACCTTGACGGTCCTACCCTCACCTACTGTCATGAGTTTTGAGTAGTAACCGAAAGAATGAGATTGGATACAAGAGGTAGAAATGAGAGTGTCTGGGCTCAGCCTTAGAGATGAAGGTAAGGAGCTCAGACATTTGGGAGAAGTTCAAAGTAGAGCCGCTCCTCTTCCGCATCAAAAGGAGCTAGTAGAGGTGCTTCAGGCTTCTACCTAGGATGTCTCCCTGGGGAGGTGTTTTGGAGACCCAGAGGCAGACCCAAGACACCTTGGTATTCCCCCAGGGAACCACGAGGAGTTGGCTGGGGAGAGGGAGGCCAGGGTGTCCCCCAATACTTGGCCCTCGATAAGCGGCAGAAAATGGATGGATGCTGGATAGATGGATGCAGTAAAATTGCCAAATAGGAATGAAATTGAAAGTAAGCTCCTGGCTCCTCAATATGGTAAAACCAGAGATTAATCCGTTGAGCCGATAAAGGGATCCTTGTGTTGGTGAGTTGTGAATGATGGGTACCTCCTGCTTCCGCGTGTGTGCCACAGTGCCACCCACTACACATTGGGACATGCTAAAGTCCTCTCAGCCAAAAGAATAGCCTAAATTTATGAGAAACCCAAGCGACTAGAGGCAGGACAGCACAGGGAAAAAGGCAGGGCTGCACCCAGTTTGTTATTATTTGGAACACACTCACTGATGTGAGTTTTGCTCTGGATAACTGGAGCCCTCCATCAGCTCACTGCATGGCCCACAGTGGCCAGCCGTGCTCGTGTGTGTGGGGAGGCCGGCTGACAGTGCGCTCACCTTGCAGATAGTCTGCCAGGTCCCCTCCATTGCAGAACTGTGAGGAGGAGAAGGACACAGAGTAAGCTGAGGATTACAACAATGTCACACTACGGACAACCCCCCCCCCCCAAGTGCAACAAAGCTGGGATAACGAGAAGCTTGTCAATGAATCTAATGGCATGTTGCGGCTGTTAGCTTCCATTATGGTTTAGGGGTGTGTGTGTAGGGGGGCACAAGTTGTGTCAAACTCACAATCACACTCCCACGTATGCTAATGACTCCCCACTCTGACAGCCAATCACAGGCCACAGGAAACTCGATGGGAGGCAGGACTCCGAGTGGCCTAATCCCTACCCCCCAGCTTTATAGGGGACATTGTGGGGGGTTCAGACCATAAACATAGGGATAATGGCAACGCTTAACTGCTCCTTGGAGGAATAATCAGTTTATATCGCTGCTGTAGTTGCAAGGCAGAGATCAGCCTTTATGGAGATGGGGGTGGGGGGGGGTTGGGGTAGCAGCACCTCACACACCGAGACACACAGACAATGTCACCGCCTCTATATAATAATAATGAGACTTATTAAGCAATGATGAGCCAGCGGACCTCCAAGCCAACAGGATGCCTGCTGTGTGACCCACAACTGTGGAATCTCGTGTTTCAGACAGCAGATGCACACGGTTGGTCAGGCAGAGGGATGGCGAAACAGTGGCCTCATTGACCCCCCCACAGGCTCAGGAGGCCCACGCAGGTGGGCGGCAGCATCAATGCCCCCTTTATCCCAGCTCTCATGCTCAGTTACGCCAGATGAGACACGCCAGGAGAGGCCACCTCCTGTGGGAATAAAAGGCCACCCTCACCGTCCCCACTACGGAACTGGGCCCTGAACCGGCAGAACACACTTTGGTGCCGTTGGAAAACAGGTTCCCCTCTCAGAGTGAGGACAGGGTCAGTCACCCAAATATAGGTTCACAAACAGCGCTTTGCGATTATTCCAGGGAACCGGCTTCTAAGAAAGGCTATTTTTAGCCCAGCCCTCAGAGGGGTTTGTCTGCCTGACGGCATTCCTGCATTGACCAACTGAGTGTCACATGGCTGGCCGCCAGGGTCAGGTGACCACATGAAAACACACACCAGTGGGAGAGTCATCACACCGAAGTACAAAACAGGAGCCGGAACACACACACACACACACACACACACACACACACACCTCAGGCCCGTCCTCTTACCTCCATGACAAGGAACACAGAGTTAGGCGTTTCCTGGAAGAGAAGTGAGATTGTTAGGGTTAACACATCGATGCACATATAGACACACTATACTGCATACGCACTGTTCACAAACTTCCAGAAAGACCCTTTGGGTGCAGACAGGATGCACTGACCCTCTGGGCAGAGATCACATGATGCTGGCAAGGAATCATTTGAAATTCTTCACATTGTTTTGAAGTATATATTACCGTCAGCTTTCGAAACCCATCAGGATGATTCGGCAATGAGCCCAGATAATCACAGATAATCAGAGATGCAAATCTTCACACAGAGGTATCACAGGAAAGAGGGTAATTTGAGAAAAGAAAAATCACAGGCAGTTTGAAAGCCTTTCACTTGACCAGGGAGCATTATAAGGCACGTGTGGTAAATTCCTTAGTCAAAGCACCGTTACATGCCAGCTGTGGGATCTCTGTTTCCCTGTTTGAGACAATCAGCCAAGCTCACAGTGCATACTGCCCCCATTGGACCGGGGGAAGTTCTCTGCTCTTCAAAAGTCTCTCATTATCATGATTAAAATACATTGAACCATCTTAGGTGAGACTCCATAGGAAATCGCCTTCCTCCCTTAACAAGGTCTCAGAATTGGCAGTGTACATAGTGTCCATTTAGCGACGCAGACATTAAGACGGCATGTACTTTTCCACAAAAGCAGCTGACATGGCCGATACCGTAGATGGGAACGTGGCATTGTTTACTTCCCCACTGCGACGCACTGGCAGGCAGTGCGGACGCAGGCGCTCCACAGCACTGAAAACATTTCGCAATTCCTGAGTCACCAGTCCATGTCGGTAACTCTAGCTGGTGTTTGGAGATTTCCTTAGAGAGGTACGGACAGACCACACAGAGGCCTGGAGACGGGGGGCACCACAATTCTGCTGCTCCACTCCTCCTACGGCTTCGCAAGGGCCTGGGTCCACCCATCACAAGCAGAGCATCTCCCGGCAGCCTTCTGCACAACACCGGCCAAACAATCCCCATCTCGTGCATGAACAATGGCTGCTTTTACGCTGAGAAATGAGTATGAAATGAGTTCATGACTGACGAAGATAATGAGCCACACCAAAAAAAAACTCAGAGCGGGGCTCCAGCAGCATCTCCTCCCAGGGTCAGCAAAGGGTGTGAGCTTCTCAACGGTACTGTGCCACTAGACACCCCCATCACACAAAGGCAGGGTGGCCCCTTACATTCTCCCAGGGGTCACAAGCCCACATGTACATGTCCTATGTCATATGTTCACAGTTATCTGTACTCTGTTAGTATAGTGCAAGCTAAAACCCTGGGTTCCTTTAAATCAGAGCTAGATAAGATTTGAACAACTCTGAGCTATTAGTTAAGTTCTCCCCAAACGAGCTTGATGGGCCGAATGGCCTCCTCTTATTTGTAAACTTATTTTCTTATATGAATCACTGCAGCAGGGAAGGTTTCTATTGTGTGTCTAACATTAAAACCACCAGCGTTTTTTTTTTCCCCAACCTCCTCTATCACACCTTTTGTTTTTTTGCTAACAGGCCACTGCCTCAGCATACCACTCACCCATCAAGAAAACAATGGGACGGTCAGTAATCCTCACCGCAGCAGTTACCGTCACCCCAAAAAAGCCGTAAAACCCATAATGGTCGTGTTTATATCATATGTTTTTGAGCTCACTGATTTAAGTACTGGCGTCGATACATTAATCTTGTGAAAATAATCTTGATCCCAATAAAATAAAAGCTGCGCATTAACATAAATCCCAAAAGTATTGAGCACTTTAATGGCTATTACAGTGGGAAATGGGTGGTCTTATTTCAAAAAGATATAAAAAGTTACACTTATGGTTTTTCCTCATATTCAATTTGTCAGAGCAACAACAAAAAACGCAATGACTTTAGCCAAAAACAGTGCATTTAACAATTACTTTCAAATAAAATGCACATTGTTAAAACAATTTAAGTGTTTCACCCAAGTTGATTTGTATAAGATATAAAAATACTTTATACAGTGGTTAAAAAACAGAAACTCTGGTGAACATGGAATCGCCAATAAACTGTCTTTTAAAAAAAAAAAAAATACATACTGCATTTGAAAACTTTTAAGGTGTACGATTTCAGGACAGAGTAGCGACTGTTAGGAACATTACGGCTTTTTGGTTGAAGGTGTTAGATTCGCTGCTGCTATTAACACTAATGGTACATTAGCACAAAAAAAAGGGCTGCATACATAGAAGTACGTCTTGCCTGGCGGTTAAAGGAGTCTGACGCTCACTGGCGTGGGAAACAGGCAGTTCTAGTGTTAAACGCTTTACACACATAAAGTAGAGCAGTGTGGGAAGGTGGGGGGGAATATGGACTTATCTTCTCTTCTGTCTCTCTGGAGATTTATGACAGTGTAGGGGGTGTGATGAAACCAAACCACTGGAACTCAGCAACCCAAGAGTGACCCGGCTTCTAGGAAAGGCAGGCCCCATTAGGGGCCCTCTGTCCCCCTCTCGATACACCTCCTCCCACGCTCATCACTCTCGTTCTGGCCCTACCTCACCCCACTCGTCTTGGGATGAAAGTAAATTCTGAGAAAAGCAGAGCCCCTCTACTGGAACAACGTGTCCCACTGCAGAAAATTCAGCTTTTGTTCTGCTGGAACTGATAGATGGCTGCAGGCAAACAGACCCACCCCTTCGCTGCCATTGGCTGCTGGCCTCACTTCCCCCTTCTCTGCTTCCCATTGGCTCATGCGAGCTGTAAACAAACCGGAGCTCATGCCTCTCCCTACAGGCCCAGCATGCTCTGTGCTTCAGACATCTTAATGGCCTTTCATTTCTCAGTATAACTGCACTGGGATTTAAATGGGTCTGCATGACGCTGATACTCCTCCAGGCTGCAGGAGCACCCAGTCATTACAGTCAACCCCCGCACTGCCAGCGGCTCCGTGAGGAGCTGCAATTACAGTGTCGACGAGGCCTTGTCTGCATGGGTCCCATTACACAGCCAGCCCCTGCCTGCGAGAAGAAACTGTCAGGGTCACGCTTAGGCCTCAGCGGCAGGAAGAGCCCGAAATAGACACGGGCCGAGGACACGCTTTAGAAAGGCCCAGCCACACTCCTCGCACACCACACTCATGGCTTCCTCAGAGAAGGGAAGCTTGAAACATGAATGGATCCTGGTGATTTTGTTTTTATGCGGCTCAAGAGCACCACCTAGGCCGCCTGTCCTTTAGTGAGCAGCTGACAGAGACCATCTTTCCTTTCTCTAATTGGGCTCGGGGGCGGGGTTGTGTAATGAAGTGTGTGGGCCCCATCACCATCTGTGCGACACGGGGAGGACTGGGGGGAAAAGGTCAGCCGTCCACAGGGGGCGCTGCAGGCGCTCTCCACACCTGCTGGGTCCGTAACTTCACAGGTACCATCTGTGACCCACAAAGCCACAGTGTACATCCCACTACTGTGCTGCCAGACGGCTTTGCTCCACCGGGAGGCACCAGAGCCCCCCCCCCCCGAATTAGATCAAGAAAATGTGCCCCACAGGAACACAAACACTATAAGGGCCACCTGCAGGCAGCTGGTGCACATCCCAGTGTCCCATACACCACTGGGCACCACTGCCCCACATGGGAGAACCAACCTGGAAGGGGGCCTAGGTATGGGTGCGGTAAACACAGGAGGACAGGGGAGGGGCTCACAGACCATCCACTCTGCCTTTTCTCCACCCACCACACGTTCAAAAACAAGCATGCTTGACATTTACTCCATTTCAGATTGGAGTGCGCACTATAATTATAGCAGGACAGGCAACACACCGGCATTATCAGAAAAACCTGCAACACTACATTAAATACCATAAGTGAAATGGTTACCCAAAGCTATTTACAATTATCCCCATTTATATAACTGCAATGTCAGCTTCATTGCATTACGCAGAATGCCATGTGGTGCTCAATAAGGTTCGGCCTCTATTCGCAGTTGAAGGGGTCACTACTGGTCACACATCACACAAAACAGGAACACCGTTATTCCAGGGGACACACAATAATCACAGGAGATTACCTGCACATCGTAGAGAGCGACGATGTTCTCATGCTGAAGTTCCTAAAAGGAGAAACGAATCTTACTAGTGAAACCCATAATGCCAGCATATCCGAGGTTCAAAATTAAAAAATTCAGCTCTCTGGCTCAGCTGAACGTACCTTTAGAATTTTAATCTCCTTGCCCAGCAGGATCTGAGACTTTGACAGATTTTTCTTGTTAATGCTCTTGATTGCCACTTCCCAGTCAGTCTTCTGCATTGGGGGATGGGGGGGGGGAGACAGGACAGAGGAATTAATGGACTGCATATAAGGAAGACAGAAGCACATTACCTTTACGACCGGGATAAACTCAGCAGCCACAATGTCACCAAAGCAATGACCATACAGTGACATGCCCATCTCTTTCTACCTTGAGGCAATTTCCATCACAATACACAAGTACATGACTACAGAAATGGAAGTAATCGTGTCCCACAGGGCACTGTGTCACTGGCAGACTGACACAGGTTTAGTGTGACTGCCAGGCGACACGCCCCATTCAGCGACAGACGCACCACACACGCCGCCCATAATCCCACACTCAGCAAAACAGAAACATCACGTCATACCACATAATACTAATTCTGCACACCATCTAACCACGCCATTCAGTGAGGCTTGACGCTTGCCCACATGCCAGATGGGCATTAGTGAGCTTCAGTTTAGCTCTAACATATGAACAGAAATGCTCAGCGAAATGCAGGCTGGCACCTTGGGAAAGGTGAGAGCTGCGGTTATGAATGATGGGTGGGGGCAGGGCGACACGCCCTCCATTCATATAACACACGCCAATGCCACGACGCCGTAAGGCAACACTACGGCTAAAGGACACGTACAGACAAGGAGATGATTAAGAGGCAGATGACACCGCTCCAGAGGTGCGCGATGGCTCTGGCTATGGCCACCAGGGAGCGCCCCCCATCATCCGAGGTGGAAATAATCCCGCCAATAAACGGAGCGCAGATGCAGGGGTTTATAAATACCCCGCATCACATGCTGGCCATGTTTTTCCGAGAGGAGGCCAATGTCACACACGTGTCAGTGGCGATGGCCGCTTCCGCCTGTCTGCTTATTCTTAGAAACACGCGTGGCGAGTCTTATTATTAGGCACCGAGACGTTCACTACCAACGGCACAGACGTTACAGATAGCCGTGCAGAGCTTCAATACGTCCCTATAAGAGCCCCCTCTGCACATCCACAGCGATGCATCTGTACAAAGCCCTGCAGGACGGGCGACCCCAAATGAGTCATACGCCGCACTATAGGTGCTGTGCACATGTGTTATAAATATCACACACCTACGAGAAAAAAGGCGAATTGCAACATAATCAAATATAAGGCAAAATAAGCCGCGTAGCATGAAATAACCGTGCAGACAAAAACAGAGATGAGAGGCCTCTGTAACAGGAGCCATGAGGGATGCCGATGAGTCCACTAAACGGCCCCGGCCGGATCTTTATGAATGAACGGGTGGCCTTCGGGGGACCGGCACAGGGTCATATCAATCAGTCTGACGGGCGGCTGTTTTTCTTAACAGAGATCACTTGGTCTTACACCGGTCAGGTCTAAATGAAACGTGCAAAAGGGATACTCACCTTCCTGTGGCGCCCCTTGAACACCACGGCAAAAGCTCCGTGACCAACCAGGTCCTTTCGGCTGTATTCAAAGTCCCCGACCGCCTCCATGTCCGGCGGCGCAGTCCGAGGTGTTGATATGAAATGTTTTCAATATGTGGCCAGAATTTGTTGTAGCCGTGAAGCGAACATCAGACAAAAACTGAAATGCCTTTACGATGCAGCTACCTTCAGCAACGCGTCGTTATCTTAGTTAGTGCCATTTTAACTCCACCGTGCTAAATGAGGACATCAGTCAAGGTTTGTTTTATTTGGGTCAAAAATGCACAAAAATCTGAATATGAATTCACTTTGCTCGCATGCTGGGGGCTGACGGGGCCATCCCATCACATCCATGAAGGCGGTCCGGCTAGATAAGCAGGCGATGCCCTTCTCTCCGGTGCAGTATTATACAGTTTATTCCTTTTTGTTTGGATCCGAGTGTCACTGACGCCGTATCAAGCTCTGCAAGCTGCAACCGGCCACTACGCATGGCCGCTATTGGCACCAGGGGAAAGACGTGTCAGCTGTCATTATCCCCTGACCCACATCGGCGACTTGGTTTGCAGGTTGGTCGCCCTCGTCGAGCCCAAAAAGCAAAAGGCACTTCGAATAGATACGTCGGGGCTACATGGTGCCGTCGGCGGCGAAGCGGACGCGCGGATCAGTGCCCGCGGCCTGGTGACAGCGCTCCGCCACCGAGAACGCGCTCATAATTACCCCGGCGCTTAAACCCGTAAGGTGGCCAAGGAGATACAGGTTTAAAAACACTGACCCAAAAATACAAAAACAAAAAATAAAAAGGCGGTGTCCTTCGCTCGCTACTACCTCTGGCTGTGCACGACTAATGTCGACCTAATTAGCTGTGTCATTTGAGGGCAGCTGCAGGACAGACAGCGAGCAGACCCGCCGTGACAATGAGAGTCCGCATTCAGCACCCCGACCATCCCTGTCCACAGCCAGACTTCTATATCGCATAGTCCGGGTTTCTTCGTGCCCGCCGCCAGACAGCACCGCTACACAACACCGGTTTCGAACAGGCTCATATCCTCACAGACTCATAGGACAGGTATGCTCTTCTCGGCGGTTAGCCGGCTAACAGAAACACTCGTAACTGTTCATGGGTTTCCTGTGGAGGGACGGGCGTATGCTCCTTTGTGGGTACGGTACACCAACAAATAGCCTTTTGCTAAATGTCACGGCGTACAAACCGTCCTAGCAATATACTCAAGCCCACTCGCCAGCCCACACAATAGCTATCAACTTCTTCTGCCTGCGTTGTAGAATATATATCACCGCAACACCCCGCGTTTCTTCGTCCGCCACAAAAGTTAGTCCGAGTAGCTAATGAATTACTATATCATAATTTTTATCTTATCGACACAGATCTGTAACAGCTGAATGGATGATGTAACAGATTACTTAGTTATACGTCAACGCTGAAATTTCAGGTGAGTTATCTTTGCACGGTGTTTTAAACAACGACAAAAGAAAGTGAGTGGTATTCTTGAAACATTACGTAATGGCTTTTGACGGATCACCCCTTAACAGATGAGTGAGGTTACGCAAAACAACTTGCGTATCTTTTGCGTGAGCGTTGATGTTTAATGACTCGGTGTAATTTCGTCTTGTTTACTGACATGAACTTGTGTAATTTTAATGAGGCCATGTATCTTTTTTTCTTTCAAAAATGTTAATGAGCTATGATAACCCCGGCTACACCCATACACGAGATTTAATTTCACTTCAGAATCTTCTATAGAAAATAGCAGCTAATTATCATGGATAATGCATCATGACTTATACCACAACTAAAATATTCGGTCACCAACAGCTTATTTTGGACACGGTCAGCACTGGGCATCAGGATAACTATAGAGGAAACTCTCACGACGCTGAGAAAACATGTATTCGACACAGGCATGGAGGAATGGATCACTATCCCACCCCACATGTACATGTTTTAAAATATAATAGTATATGAACGCTTTGTTCGTATTATACGTGCAACGTAAAAAATATTACCATTAAACTCGATGTGGATAATTTGTAGTGTGTGACAAACCCTAAAACATTTTTAATTCAGACCACTCACCATGCCTGAAGAAGGCTCTCAGGATACCACATGACTCTAGTCATCCACCCTCTAAGCTTTTATCAGATTACCGTCTAGAAGGCATACAGACACGGACTACTAGCCTGTGGTTTTTACACACAGGCCATTAGACTACTCTACTCCAGTACTGTATAATATTTCCAGTCACTGTTGCTAGTCTACTTGTGACTATTATATTTGCACTAAATACTGCATCTGTAACATAGACTATTGCACTTGTCATTTTATTACATTGATAGCCACCTGGTCTTTCTCACTGTTTTTACAAGATCTGCTTTAATTAATCCTGGGTTATTCCCTTACTCGTTTTACTTATTTTTTTACTAGTTTTTCTTCTCCCCCTCTCCCCAATTACATTTCTGTATTTTGTATTGTGATTGTATGTGCAATTATTTGAACTTCACCACAAGCATTTCATTGCACGGATGTCTCTTCCAGACAATGCTTATGATAAATAAAACTGTGACTTTTAATTTTGATCAAACAAATTAATTTGCCTTTTCCACAGATGGATAATTGCTGAAATAGTTAAGTACCTTGATGAGGAAACAAGAGAAAGATTTAAGCCTATGCTACCTTTTCAGATCGTAACTTTAATCTAAACACTGACTGGTTCAAAAATCTGATATTTAATCTGTCATTAAAACACTATAACACCCTATTAACAACACACAGCAATTCAAAATTTAAATTCGTAACATTTGCGCCCTCTGGTGGTGGTTAATGTTACGGTTTTCGCCGCCGCTAAATCCAGAAAAAATGAAGAATTTTGCTGAGCTTTGCATTATTGTGATGTACATAAAGTTATTAGACTTTTTATAAATTAGCACTATAGCTGCTGAGTGCGTATTTCTGTTCTGCGGGCCTTTTTAAATACCAGCTGTAAGGCCGAATTCTTGAAATACAAGTGATACCAGCGTCTTTTGAACGGATTAAATTTTCTTCACCTACCTTATAATTTTGTGGCAAATAGGAGTTTATGACATGACCATGTTGAGTTAATGTATAGTATGAGCAGTGTTATCAGTGTTATTAGCAGGACGGTGTAAAGATGTCAGTATTATGTCCTACATAACTTCTATGCACATACTTCAATAAAAAAAATCTTCCAGTTTGGCTGTAATTTTCGGTTATTTGTGGTAAACTGGATTTAATGGAACGGTTTGTTTGTGTATGTATGTACAACAATCACAAACCTTAAGTGAAAAATATCATTTTATAGAAAGTTGCTGTGAATATCTTATGAATAAGCCTCATATTAATATTAGCTACTCCAATCGAAACATCTAATTTTACATCACGATTTTATTTTGTGCTACTTTTTATTTTAGAAGTAGGCCTGTTTATGAAGCATTACAACCCACAAACGTCTTACGCTTTTGTTGAACTACTTCTGTGTCACCATTGATTTCATTCACATTACAATTTTCTAACGTATGTTTTGTAAACCGTGTGAATTAGACAAACGTCCGGACTTCATAAACGAGTTAAAAATTTAGATCTGCATACAGACCATCGTGCGGCAAAGCTCAGCGCTGCTTAGCGTTCCGTCATACATGTTAAATAAAGTTACATGTTAACATCCGGGAATTTCTTTGTAGCGGCGCCCACTTACGTTTGCGTAGTAATATCCCGTATTCCTATCCGCAGAAAACGCTTACAACGTAGCGGCTCTCGTTTGTGAATACTGGCAGTACGAACATCGTGCGTTGCTCGATTTTGTCCGCCATTCTACGCAAATAGCTAGCTCGGAGAAACGCTTGTCTTTAGCAGGGAGCCAGATTCAATTGCATTTAAGTAATGTTGTTGTGATTCTTCACGGAGAAAGGCAGTTTTAATACAGATCGGTTGCTGTGGTAAAGGAGGTGAGTTTGCAGTGAAGTTTACATGATGATGAAGGCGCTAAATTCTCTAGCGGTGCTTCCTGACAACATGGCCTGTTGTATTAGCTAACTAGCAGCATGGCTACTATGCTTCAGATCGCCTAATGACCGATTTGTTGTTTTTTGTTTGGCAGCCAAACGTAATTCACTTTGGATTAGGAGATCAGTTATTGCTATGTTAAGTTTGCTTTAATTGCCTTGTAAATAGCTATAGTTGGCAACACATCATGGGGTTAATCTGCACACCGTCCGACTTTGTCTTTATTAGGCTTATATATCTGTACGTTAAACGCTAAATTGCTAAGTTTTGTTATCGGAGTACGCTGTTTCTTGTAAAATTTTGGATGTTTTTCTCTAGCCCCGGTAGCACGTTTCCCTCGGCGGCCATCCGGCTTTACAGTGAACCGTCCTCTAGTGCCCTTACCGTCTCATCTGAACTGAACTGAACTGTAAATCGTTGCTCGGTTGCCCATCATGTTTTACGCCCTGCACTTTGCTGTAGTCTATTTTATACTCGGTTATTTCTCTATCTTGCACGCTGTGCATTTTTTTCTGCTATTGTAACTTTGTCCAGGCGGTCAGTGGGGTGTTGTTTATTGCTATTGATAATGCTCTATTTGTATTTTTTGTGGACAGTAAAGAAATCCTTTAAAAGTTTGACTCGTCCTTTTTGAAAATTTCTACTTAATTTTCTTTTGGAAGAATTAGAAAAAAATCTATTTACGTGTTTTTCGTACAGAAACATCTAAATGTCTTTCTGTGAGGAATCCCCGTGATATTTGTTCACGTTTACTGTGATACCCCCAGTGCTGCTGCCGGGATTGTGAAAAGTTTGTTCTTGCAGGTACAGCCACCATGGCAGCTGCATTCCCGTACAGACCTGTACCTGGAGCGATGCCTCCGGGAATTCCCCCAGGCATCCCTGCTGGGATTCCCACCCCAAGCCAGATGCCCGATTACATGTCTGAGGAGAAACTGCAAGAGAAAGGTGGGGTTTGATAAGTGCTGGGGAGGAGAGTGTACCCTGCAATTTTAATGACAGAAATTTTGAAATGTTGGGTGATGAAAATGAAGCATGATTTAACAGTATTGCTGCTACAAAAGTGAATGTTTTTAATGCTTGATTGATGTTGGCTTTAGCTCGCAAATGGCAGCAGCTGCAGGCAAAGCGCTATTCAGAGAAGCGGAAGTTTGGCTTTGTGGATGCCCAGAAAGAAGACATGCCCCCTGAACATGTGCGCAAGATCATCAGGGACCACGGAGACATGACCAACAGGAAATTCCGCCATGACAAAAGGGTTTATCTTGGGTAAGCAGCTCAGTGGTTTATTATTGCATGTTGCTTTTTGCGCTGTGATTCTTGTAAAGGGTCATAATATGGTATGTATAGTATTGATGGTTTGTATGTATTCATGCAGTTTTCCTATTTCTATTCCAGAGCTCTTAAATACATGCCCCACGCAGTCCTGAAGCTGCTGGAGAACATGCCAATGCCTTGGGAGCAGATCAGAGATGTTCCGGTGCTCTACCACATCACCGGAGCAATTTCCTTCGTCAATGAGATCCCATGGGTCATTGAGCCGGTCTACATTGCACAATGGGGGTAGGGTCCCTTCATTTTTCAGCACAGATCTTTTGTAGAGCAAGATTCATCGCTGAATGCAAAATGTGCACTGGTTGATTGAGATTTCTGCTCACCTTAGGTCCATGTGGATCATGATGCGTCGTGAGAAGAGAGACAGGCGACACTTCAAGCGAATGAGGTTCCCACCATTTGATGACGAGGAGCCTCCGCTGGACTATGCCGATAACATCCTGGATGTGGAGCCTCTGGAGGCCATCCAGATGGAGCTGGACCCTGAGGAGGATGGTTCCGTGGTGGACTGGATGTACGAGCACCAGCCACTCAAAGACAATGCAAAGTGAGTTCACAGCACAGAAGTGAGAGACCTTCTTTCTCTCTCTCTGCCTACCTCCCTGCATCACCAGTGCTTCTCGATCCATCAGGTTCGTGAACGGGACGACCTACCGGCGATGGCAGTTCTCCCTGCCCATGATGTCCACCCTCTACCGCCTGGCAAACCAGCTGTTGACCGACCTGGTTGATCGCAATTATTTCTACTTGTTTGACCTGAAAGCCTTCTTCACATCCAAGGCTCTCAACATGGCCATCCCAGGAGGTCCCAAATTTGAGCCTCTTGTCAGAGACATAAACTTGCAGTAAGTTTTGAGTTCTGTGATTTTTTTTTTTGTCAGATGATTTCTGTAAATTTGTACACCATTCTCAAACTTGTTTGGCTTTGTACAGGGATGAAGACTGGAATGAATTCAATGACATCAACAAGATCATCATCCGACAGCCAATAAGAACAGAGTACAAGATTGCATTCCCCTACCTGTACAACAACTTGCCTCACCATGTTCATCTGACCTGGTGAGCTGCTTCGGCGTTATTGCACATTCTTATTGGCTTGTACAGAAAGAATTAAGCTTGCTGAAGGGGGAAACACTAATACAATGATATATCCCCCCCCCCACCCTCTGCTTCCTGCTTCAGGTATCACACTCCCAATGTTGTCTTCATCAAGACAGAAGATCCTGATTTGCCAGCCTTCTATTTTGACCCCCTGATTAACCCAATCTCCCACAGACACTCAGTCAAAGTAAGTTTTTTTTTTTATACTGACTTGAGAGTAATTTGCTTAGAAGGATTTTTTTCTAGAACAATGTACCTGTACCTATTACCTGTAGCAAATTCCAGTTTCCACTGAAGATGTCTGTCTCTCTTTCAGAGCCAGGAGCCGCTTCCAGATGATGATGAGGAGTTTGAGCTCCCTGAGTATGTGGAGCCCTTCCTTAAGGACACCCCCCTATACACTGACAACACAGCCAATGGCATCGCTCTGCTCTGGGCACCCCGCCCCTTCAACCTGAGGTCGGGAAGAACCCGGAGGGCAATTGACATCCCTCTCATTAAGAACTGGTTAGTGTCTCCTCTTTACAGCTTGTTTTCTTTTTAGATAGCATCCTTTGTTTGAGGTTTACAGTGACCTCTGTGTATGTGAGTGATTATTTCTGTTCACTAGGTACCGTGAGCACTGTCCTGCTGGACAGCCTGTGAAGGTGCGGGTTTCCTACCAGAAGCTGCTGAAGTACTATGTGCTTAATGCCCTCAAGCATAGACCACCAAAAGCTCAGAAGAAAAGGTTTGTGGACTAGCTTTTCTACAGGATTCTTTGGACAACCTGTGTGAATTTAAACCTTGTTGAAGCGAAATGAAGAATTTGTTTTGAGTTGCACTCGCTTCGTCTTTCGCCAGATACCTGTTCCGCTCCTTCAAGGCCACAAAGTTCTTCCAGTCGACAAAGCTGGACTGGGTGGAGGTGGGACTGCAGGTGTGCCGGCAGGGTTACAACATGCTGAACCTGCTCATCCACAGGAAGAACCTCAACTACCTTCACTTGGACTACAACTTCAACCTGAAGCCTGTGAAGACCCTCACAACAAAGGTCTGTAGCTTAAGGGTAGGAAGGCCTGAGCTCAGTGCTATTGTACGGCTCTGTTAATATCGGCTACTTTGACGTGCTTGTTTCAGGAACGTAAGAAGTCCAGATTTGGGAACGCGTTCCACTTGTGTCGTGAGGTGCTCCGTCTCAGCAAGCTCGTGGTGGACAGCCATGTGCAGTACAGGCTGGGAAACGTCGATGCCTTCCAGGTGGGCTCTGTTCTGTTTTAGCTACCACACCCTGCGATGGTGGGTTTCACAGCTAGCTAGACCTGGGTGACTGTTGGGGTGTTTTAATCTGCCCCTCCTGCTCCTCCGTGTGCTGCAGCTGGCTGACGGTTTGCAGTACATCTTTGCCCACGTGGGACAGTTGACCGGAATGTACCGGTACAAATACAAGCTGATGCGGCAGATCCGCATGTGCAAGGACTTGAAGCATCTCATCTACTACCGCTTCAACACGGTGAGTCT